CACAGACAACCTCTCGTCAATATGCATTTTTCGCATTGCATTGCTGCAAAAAACGCATAAAAATAACAGCTGGCTGTAGTGATTGAGATGAGTGATGCATCCAAACACATTGAACAGCCAGGTATCAGCTGTCTGGCTTTCAAATTCTGCATTTTGACAAGACATGAATTTTGAACCGTATCCGGCTACGTATTTGAATTTGCAGAGTGGAAGAAGCCTCTGAAGTCGATTTTGAAGAAAGGAAATGAGGAGGCGGCAACGCCGTCCTCGTCAATGCGTAAGTTCCACATATTTGTTTTTGAGAAGCCTGCTTGTTTGCATACTTGTGCACCTGTCCCACTTAACAGAATTTGAAAATAAACTGATGCAGCAAATATTGTGCTCTGGGAAAGTGAGAATGTGTCGCTAGATAAACAAAAAGCACATATTTAAATTATGAATAAATGCTCTGGCCCAATCAAAAGAAAATCCTGCGGGTGAAGGAGCGTTAGAGGTGAGAAAAACAAGCAAGGGAAAGGAAAGAGAAGTGGATACATTCGCAACTAGCTTATTTATTTTGCAAACAATACTTTAGTAATGAAATTTGGGATCTGTAAAAGTTTTTAAAGTGCTGTAACGGCGATTCTGTTATTTAATTCCGAAAATTCGTGATTCTAGAAAAAGACAAATTTTGCATTTCTGGCTATCCACTGTAAAGACTTTGTTTCGATTCTGTACTTTACAATGCGTAAGATTAAGCACAGCGGATATGTCCAAATTCTGAGCTCAGTGGATTTTTCAAAGCGCTTGCACGAGAGAAAATTATAAAACTGTTGTGCAAAAAATCGTTATCGATAATCGGGAGCAAAAAAAATTGATGGAGATACCGAGCAGACTGGCTGCTACCTCAAGAATCATAAAGAACGTTTGAAGAAGGCAATTTTAATTAAAGCCGAAAGGGATTCCACTGGCAGATTATTTAGGATCAGCCATAATTCATTGTTTGGTGTTCGAACTATGCTGCTGGTAACTTTTCCAGTGCTGCATCACCTGGCGTTCAACGTGCAGGTGGACGTGACTTTGGTTTTGTCTCCAAAATTACTAGTTGACGAGAAGGTTTCGTGACTGAAGCACTTAGCAAGTTTGTTTTGATTTGTATCCTGTTATTTGTAATTAGACAACAGGTTTCAGTAAATCCTCGCATTATGATTACTGAAGATGGGCATGCGGCTACCAGTCGCTCGTTATTGGAGCGGAGCACAGCAGCAGCTACTGAGTACGGTTCCAATGGCTACGTTGTCAATTATCAATCCTATAATACCAAAATTACAAGGTATAGTTATATTTTAACTAAATATAATCAGGAAAATTGCAGACTCTCTCTTCTCTTTGTTCTGCAAGACATCGGACTTAAAGTACTCAGGTCATTAACTGCGTAATGGTTGTTGCTTTACACCTA